GAGCCCGCACGATTCCCCGCCGCTCTGCCCAATCTTGCCATCTCCCCACACCCCCGGCTCGAACTCTTACCGGCATCTTGATGGCGCCCGGGTTTCAACCCAGACCAGCAAAATCGGGTTAGAGCTCGGCGCTTCCGGTCCGACGGCCCGGGTGGGGTAGGCGGAAGCGATCAGGAGAGGGAGGGCGACGGGAGGACGCGGCGCTTCCGGCTTGCAGTCCCGCCTCTGGCTGCCACAGCTGCGCCGGTCTTAAGGGGCGCCAGGGGGCGCCCGAGCACTAGGCAGGGGTTTTGAGTGTAACGCATGCGTTAGGCGCGCGCGCACGGATATGAGTCTTGGGGTTACAGAATCCCAGTGATCGATCATCTCCTTTGTTTTTCCTTAAAGATCAGCTTTTCAGTGAAGCATTTCTTGGTCACACTGTTTTGAATTCAACCTCACTCCGCCACCCTGCCTTATCCTCTTTACCGTTTTCCTTAGTTTTTATAATTTAGTTTACATGTGGTGTTTATCTCGTCTCCCCATCCATCTGAACGTCAAAAAGAAAGGGATTTTGTCTGTCTTGTTCACTGCTGTATTCTCCGCGTCTGTAACAGTGGTGGTACATATTAAGCATCAATAAATATTTGTTGAGTGAATGAATGAGCCCAACCCACCGCTTTAAAAAACGGAGAAACTGAAGAGCAAAGCAAAAAAGGGATTTGTGCATTACTTTGTAATGCAGTTCTTTTCGTAATAGTTGAGAAAGTGGGCACCGGGTTTCAAACCTAGTGCCAACGTTTACTAGCTCTGTAATTTTCGGAAAGTTAATTAACCTCACAGTGTCTCAGTTCCTCACTCTATAACGGAGACAACAGTACTTTACCTCACAGCTGTGTGAGGGCGAAATGAGTCACCTGAAAAGTGCTTAGAACTTACATGCCTGGAACATACTCAAGAGGTTTTTACCTTATAACATCAAGATCATGAGTTTGGATCTCCGTATCAGCTAGCCGCCACTCCCTCCCCACATCCAATTTTTTTTTTTTTTTTTTAGTCCATTACTACAAAGCACCACATGCGAAAAGCCAAGTTCATTGCTGCTTTGGAGCCACTTCTTATGCCGGTCCCTCAGACTGGAATACTCTGCCCCACATTCCCACATCTGATTTCTCATTTAGATTTCTGGCCAAATAGCACCTTTTAGGAGGGGTCTTTGACAAAGAGCCCAAAGTAGCCCCCCCATCCATTTTTTTTTTTTTTTTTTTTTTAGTCCATTACTACAAAGCACCACATGCGAAAAGCCAAGTTCATTGCTGCTTTGGAGCCACTTCTTATGCCGGTCCCTCAGACTGGAATACTCTGCCCCACATTCCCACATCTGATTTCTCATTTAGATTTCTGGCCAAATAGCACCTTTTAGGAGGGGTCTTTGACAAAGAGCCCAAAGTAGCCTCTTAGTCACTCTCTATTTCTTTACTGTTTTCTCGTGTTGCCATCCATTATCAGATGTTTCCTTGCTCATAGTCTCATGGGCCAGCATGTCAGCCCCATAAGAGTAAGGCCCTATCTGCTTTGAAAGTCCCCATTCCATCTCCAGTTCTGGGCACCCATAGCAGCTCAGTAAGTTTGTCTGAAGAGTCACGTCAGGCTTGCCTATGAGACAGTGAAATCCTTGAGAACTAGAACTGTCAGAATTATCTTGGAAACCCCAGTATCCAGATGGAAAGGCAATGGAATCTGGCCCTTCACTTCTTTCCCACAGGCACATACCAGCCTCTGCAGAAGCTGAACCAGGGAGGTGTAGTTTAAGGAGCAATGAAAAGGGAAAGTAAAAAGTTGTCCCTTCTTTCTTCCCCTCCCACATGACAATAAAGTTTCTAAGAATTAGCACCACTGGGAGATCAGGGTGTTTTCACCCGTTCCATACTCTAAGGACCATGGGACTGTCCCCAAGCAGCCCAGCACATCACCATGTTGCCCGCTCATCCTGTTCTCCTGAGTGGCCCTATAACAGTGGACCATGGTGCAGATACCTGCCTCTTCCTCCTAGCCTGGGCCTCCAGGCACAAGCTGCCACTGATGCCTATGGCTCCTCACATTTTGTTTCTTTAATTCAAATAGATCAAATTTGACACTGCAGGTGTACTTGTGCTATCTTGGCCCAACAATGGTTAAAAATTTAACCCGAGTTGCAGGTTTTCAATAAAGGCTTAATTTGTATCAGCTGTAAGATCCATCACCAAATGACCAATAAAGCCCGGGCCTGTCATGAGGATTAAATGAAAGAGATTATGTAAAATGCTTCTTAGAATAATGCCTGGAGTACTTGATAAATAAATGAGTCAGCCTTGCTTTGGCAGAGCCTGGCCTATAGAGGGTGCTAGAAAAATATCTGTTGACTACACATTCCCCAGGGACTACTTTGACACAAATGAACTTAGAACACAAATGAACTTAGAAATACTGAAAACAAACAATTCAATCGATGTGGCAAGAAGTTAAAAAGAAAAATGACATCTGCATTTTTGTGTGTACTTGTCAGCACCACGCTCAGCCAGTGAGCAAACCGGCCATCCCTATATGGGATCCGAACCCGGGGCCTTGGGGTTATCAGCACCGCACTCTCCCGAGTGAGCCACAGGCTGGCCCTTTTGTGTGTACTTGTTATTATTAAAGGAATGTATAAATTCTTAAACACTTAGAGACCACAAACCACATTTCTAAAAACAATCATGGGCCTGGCCAGTTAGCTCAGTTAAGAGCATGGTGTTGGTAACACCAAGGTCAAAAGTTTGGATCCCCGTACTGGCCACTTGTCAAAAGAAAAACAATCACTGCCTACATTTGACACTTGGGGAAATTTATTCATTCAAAAATTTGCCCTGCCTGAGTAAAATTCTGCCTGTAAAATAAGAGTGTAATGAAAGGTTTGTGCTGCCTTTCCATTTCTTTTACATATATACATATATATCTCAAAACATGGTTACTTTTAATTTTTAAATTATACAAACAACACATTTTCAATGTAGGAAAATGGGAAGATACAGATAAGCAATGGTCTTATCTATATCCTTCCAGACTTTTTCCTTTGGATATACCTATGTACATTGTTACAATAATTCCTGCCCCTCAACAAACCCTCAAAAACAACAAAAATCAAACAGTAAAAATAAAGTGACTGTCCTGTAGCAAAGGTGCTAATTTATATTATATACAAACCTATGTGCATTCATTTCAATTTTGACTTTTAAAATCTAAATTGATGCTACTAAAACAATACTAAAATATTTCACTTTAAATAGTAGTAGTTTCAAAATAACTCAAGACTTCATTCAGGCATGCTGCTGATAAAGAGCAAAGTAATGTTTTTTTCATTAAAATAAGTAGCTTTCTACTACTGCATCCTTCAAAGAGAAGAATGTTCTGTTGGTCTGGCTATAAGGTCTTCACATATATACACAATTACTATTCAGTAAACTCTTCATTCATTCTGCTGTTCTTGAAAATATTCATCAAATATAGAGGAAGATTCGTCTTCACGTTCCTGACACAAAGGAAACACAAAATAGAAAAATACATTCATTTCCTCTCAGACCTACTATATGTTTAAATATTTTTCAGGTAATGCTCTATAAGGAACTAATACCCAGCACCAGCTCCAGGTGTTGCTCAAACAAAACCATTAAAAGTAAGAACGGCAATGATGGATAGCATTTTTCCAAATATGTGGTAAATTAATGTGCTTATATCTCATCAAACAATTTCTCATTTGAATTTATATTCACAATGATCCTTAGCTAATCTGCTGTGATAGTGTCCTACTGACAATTATCATTAGTCTTCCTACTGATTTATGTGAGGGCAGCCCCAGTCCAACTGGATTGCAGCTCCTCTTTGCACATACCCCAAAGCTCCAAGCACAAAGAGACTTAATTCAATATTGCCTGAACAAAATGTTGAATAAAACTGATACCGTTTATTGAGCACAGCTGTTAATTTCAGAGATCACCCAGAAAAGCCCAGATAACTGCCACCACCACTAGGACAAAAAACTCATTTAAGGAGTTGCCTGGATTATGCAGGAGGCCAGTAAGTGCTGGCAAATATTTTTACCAAAAGCCAACAAACATACCAAGTCAGAAATTACCTTTGGTTCTTTAAATTCCAAATCTTCTCCATATTGAATGGAAAAATCAATATGCTGTAATACAATGTTCATGCTTTCTTCATCTGACTGATCATAAGGTAAAAATCGAACCATGCTGTAATCGTCAATCTACAAGTTGGGGATTTCAAGAAAGACTCATCATTCTGAAGTTGTGCAAAATACATAATTTTCAACTTATATTTGAGTTTTATAATCATTTGTAATTCTGATTAAAAACATTTCTGTGGAGAAGAGAGGAGGAGGAGTGATAGGCAGAGACAGAACAACAGCATTGATTTTTCTGACCTTTGACGTGCTAGACCACTTGTCAGCTTACTACTTAACTAGACACTTACTGTGTCATGGGTATTTATGTGATACAACAACCGCCGAAAATTTTACAAGGGCACAAATGGTAACTAGACACTTACTGTGTCATGGGTATTTATGTGATACAACAACCGCCGAAAATTTTACAAGGGCACAAATGGTTCTTAACAATCCAAATGGTTTGAAATAATAGACACATTTGTTAATTGATGGGCCACTGTCAATAACTACTTCTAAAATAAACTGCTGAACGACCAGCCCACAGCCCCTCCACACCCTCTTCCTCTTTGCTGGAAATAGGGTTGGACTATGCTTTTCATAAAGGTGTCCAGTTAGATGTGAGCAAACACTTGACCAGGTCATTTAGAAAAAAACCCCAAAAAACCTCACTTGAAGAACTTACCAGTCCACATATAGCTTTAGTCAATTTTTTGAATTTTTTGCTTCTTAAGTCACCTGTAGAATCATCTAACAAAGAATACATGTCTGGATCTAGAAACCTTTAATAGTGAGAAAGAAGACTGATGAATAATAGGAAGAATAAATCAGGAAACCAAACTTATAGACTGACAGAACCCCACATCTAAATAAAACACAAGGTTCATCTCTGCAATTAAGATCTGATGATAATGGAAGAACAATAAACTCACTTCTCAACTTCCTTTTTAGCTTTCTTACTCAGCAGATCCATTTTTGTCATGATGTTAACTTGTGGAATTTCTAGAGAGATCATGGCACTCAAGGCTGCCAGGATGCCAGAAATAAACTGAAGGAGGAAACAGAAAAGGGAAGACCAATCAACTTGCCAACAAAGTTCCCTACCTGGTCTCTGCACAAAGAGAGGCTTCTATTCCTCACTGGAACAAAATTGGCCTAAATAAAATAAATGCTAATATTTAAAAAAAGACTGTTCACTAATCACATGGTTGACACTTAGTCCCCAAAGGCAAAGGTAAGGAGGGAAGATGTAGATTTAATGTAAAGTAATCACAAATCCCAATTTCATTAACTTTCTTTCCCATCTAATATTCCTCAAGAAGTAAAATTTGACTCAGATAGTTCATAAACTGGACAAAAGGTCCTCAGAAAATTAAAAATAGACTATTTTATAAAATACCCACCTGCCTCAAGTTTTCCTTGGTAAGTAGTTACCCAAAATCTATATAACTAATTTACTATTTTTGAGTTAAAAATACATTATCATAATAATTTAATAGTAAGGAATACTAAATAACTCTGTAATCGTTTGTGAAATGTCCAGAGTCACAAAATTAAAGGGGACTGTCATCTGCTTGTACCCAAGATTTAAAAATCTACAACAGATTTATCCTCAGACCTTGAATGACTCCACCATGAACTGAGAATCAACAAGAAAAACTCCACAGACTCGGAACTCCCACTGTTCAAGCTGCTGGACCAGCTGTTTCATCACAGGCAGGTGAGTGTACAACTCAATCTGACCTACACAAAGAACATTACCAGAATATTATCATCAAATTACAGGAAACAAAATTTCCCCAAAAGACAGTTGGAAAAAAAAAGAAGTCGACCCCGGGTAGTAATACATTCAATTTTAAGGGGACTATAGCCTCTTGAAGTAATCATAAAACATAATGTAATGCCATATGGGAATCCCGAACAAACTATCCACTTTTATGTAGAAAATGAGGTTCTTCACACTTTTTTTCCAGTCAAAAATGAGTGCTATAAAGGTATGTGCAGTTTAAGCATATCCATTAAGTCGTACACTTATGATATATGCACTTTTCTGTGGCTATAGAAATGTTCAATGAAAAGGAAGGGAAAAAATTGAGGGCCACAGATGATCAAAGCTAGGTTAGGTTCAAGTCTAAAATTCACTATTTGGCTTAAGAAGCTGTATGTGATTATCTGCCCCTTACTAGCCTGACCTCACAACATTTTCCTCTATTTATTATGCTCCAGCCACACTGGCCTTTTCAGTGCCTCAAACCCACCTTGTTCCTTCCAGCCTCAAGGCCTTCGGCATGCTGTGCTCTCTGCCTGGACCACTGTATCCCTCATCTTCACACTATGGCCCAGCTTAAAAGCTACTTGATCAGAAGCCTTCTTGACCTCCCTCCTATGTTACGATCTGTACTACTCTTGTGGAACACCTGTCATAAATAAGTATATTGGGGTGGTTTTGTTGATGCTATCTGACACTCCACTTTACTGAGATCCATGACAGCAGAGAACATGGCTACCTTGCCCTTTATGGTATTCCCAGTGTACAAACTAAGTACTCGATAATCTCAATGAATGAATTAAAGCCAACAAATAAGCGTTAGAGCTACAAATGCTTGCTGAGATCAGAACTATTGCAACTTCAAGGAAAACAACACTTTCAAATTGCTGACCTACCTGGACAGTCAAAAAGGATGTAGTCATCCTCTACATGGCCAAGACAATTCTCTAGCCAGTCGAAATTATTGGCAAAGTACTCCATGCAAAATACCAATCCTCCATTGGGACCAAACCGTAGAGAGTCATCCTCCATCACATCATCCACTTCTATCAGTTCCCGGATATCTGAAAAGGACAGACAGGGCCCAGAATGTAAGTGTTCATTCAAAAATTGTTATCCTCACTAGTAATAATTAACAATTACATTTAAAAACCTCACATAAATGAAATTAATTATGTACATGGTTTTTCACTGTAGCAGTGTCCATTAATAGGGAACTGAGCAAATAAATTATTTCACAGCCAGACAATGGAATACTATGCAACCGGAAAAAGTGGGAAGCTCTTTAAATACTGATATAATACAATCTCCCAGGTATATTGTTAAGTGAAAAATTCAAGGTGCAGAACTCTGTAAGAATGCCATCATTAGTATTTTTAAAAAAGACAAAAATTCACTACATACACATAATACATATATATGTATTGGATTTTATTTGCACAGACTATCTATGGAAGGACACACCAGAAATTGGTAATACTGACTGCCCCAATGAAGGGAACTGATTGCTGGGACAAAGAGCTGGGAGGGAGACACCTTCCTGAATACTTACTCTTTTATACCTTTTGCACTGACTGCCCCAATGAAGGGAACTGATTGCTGGGACAAAGAGCTGGGAGGGAGACACCTTCTTGAATACTTACTCTTTTATACCTTTTGCATTTTTTTTTTTTCCTTTTTGTCTTTTTTCGTGACCGGTAACGGGATCGCAACCCTCAGTGTTGCGCCCGTACCTCGACCGGCAACGGGATCGCAACCCTCGGTGTCGCACCCGCACCGTG